ATCACAGTATTTCAACCACAATTCAAATAAGAAAAGAAAAATTCATTAGCAGATTGACCTTAGACATGTAGTATCTTGTCTTAATTATGTACCATAGGGTGTTGTGAGATTAAATGAACTATTCTGTGTAAAGCATTGACCCAATGATTATCTATAGGGGCATAAATTTTATTAGTATTGTCAGTTTTAAACCATCTAAAGGCATTGTTTCAGAGATTAATATTCTTTTTTATTTAATTTATTTGAAAGGCAGAGTTACAAAGAGAGGGAGAGGTCTTCTATCTGCTGGCTCACTCTTCAAACGCAACAACAGCTGAGGCTGATCCAGGCCAAAGCTAGGAGCATCATCCAGGTCACTCACGTGGGTGTCAGGGGCCCAGAGACTTGGGTCACCTTTTGTTGCTTTCCCAGGCCTGCTAGCAGGGAGCTAGAACAAAGGTGGAGTAGCCAGGACTCAAACTGCTGCAGGTGATGGCTGAACCTTCTGTGCCACAAAGTGACCTGGGAGATTTTTAGCATTCTAATCTTAATGAGTTCTTAGTTCTGATATTTGTGGTTCTGTGCTTTCCTCGTATGTCACGTATTATTTTCATCTAAACTCTCCATTGGCCTCTCATATCACAGCCAAATGTAATAAATCCTTGCTAATCTGGTATTTTTCAAGAGAAAAAATGGTTTACAAGATTGGCATTCTAAAATGTTAAACCTTCTCTTTAACCATCTCTTTTTTTAAAAAAATAGTATCATAGTTTCCTGCCTTTCTAAAGCAAAAATCTTAAACTTTACTCTTTTTGATGAGTCACTGTTCTTTTGTATATCTAATTAAATAGCTGTTTTCATTTATTTTACTTTTCTCTTTCCAGGTAGCTATCATTTGTGTGTGTGTGTGTTTAAGCCTTTTTATATCCTCTCAACCAACTATTGTCTAATCTGTTCTATGTTTGGAAATCAGATATTAAAGCTTGCTAAAAATTATATGTTAAAATGATGAAATGTCTGGAGCTTACTTGAAAATACCCACTTGCGGGGCCGCCGCCATGGCTCACTTGGTTAATCCTCTGCCTGTGGCACTGGCATCCCATGTGGGCACCGGATTCTAGTCCCGGTTGCTCCTCTTGCAGTCCAGCTCTCTGCTGTGGCCTGGGAGGGCAGTGGAAGATGGCCCAAGTGCTTGGGCTCCTGTACCCGCATGGGAGACCAGAAGGAAGCACCTGGCTCCTGGCTTCCGATCGGCGCAGCACCAGCTGTGGTGGCCATTTTGGGGAATGAACCAGTGGAGGGAAGACCTTTTTCTCTGTCTCTCTCTCTCACTGTCTATATCTCTACCTTTCAAATAAAAAAAAAAAAAAAAAATACCCACTCTGCTGTGGGGCTTGAGTTCTTATTTACCTATGGGTAACATCATATCCATAGATTGTTATTCCTAATGACTTTTTTTAAATTAATTTTTGAAAGATTTATTTATTTATTTTACTTAAAAGGCAGAGTTACAGTGAGAGGGAGAGACATGGAGAGATCCTTCTTCCACCAATTCACTTGCCAAATGACTGCAACGGCCAGAACTGGGCCAGGCCAAAGCCAGGAACCCAGAAGCCCAGAACTCCACTGGGGTCTCCCATGTGTGTGGCAGGGGCACACACACTTGGACCATTCTCCACTGCTCTCTAGGTGCATTAGGGAGCTGGATCAGAAATAAATCAGCCACTGCCCAAACCAGTATTCTGACATGGGATGTTGGTATCTGAAGCAGTGACTCAACCGGCTCTGCCACAATACTGGCTCCCCTAATGAATTTCTTGATTTGTGTTTTTCTTCAGAGGTTAGTAATGCTGACAATAAGCCTTTTCTTTAATCAACATGACTTTATATAATATTTTGATTATTCTACCTGATCTTTTGATTATTAAGAGTTTATTTCTAATGGTAGGGATTTTTATAATTGTATTGAATATGTGTATTCTACACTTGCCCATACATAATTTTATGTAAGTGTACATATATGTTTTCAAGTGTAATTTTGTTTTTTCTTCTCAATACTTTTATTTGTAAGGTTTTTTTGTTTATTTGAGTGGTAGAGTTACAGACAGAAGGAGAGACAAAGAGAAAGGTCCTTCATCCACTGGTTCACACCCCAAATGGCCGCAACAGCCAGAGCTGAGCTGATCCAAAGCCAGGTGCTAAGAGCTTCTTTCTGGTCTCCCATGTGGGTACAGGTAACCAAGCACTTGGAGTATCCTCCCCTGCGTTCCCAGGCCATAGCAGAGAGCCAGATCAGAAGAGGAGCAGACGGGACATGAACAAGTGCCCATGTGGGATGCAGACACCACTGGTGGATGCTTAGCCCACTATGCTACAGTGCCTGCCCCTCCATTCTTTTCTTTACTTCCTTTATCCCTTGACTCCCCAAGTGATTCACATATCCTTTTTTACCCATATTCCACACACACATACACACACACACACACAGCGCTACTCTCTTTTCACCCTCAATTCTGTTACTTGTTGATCACTTGCTTTTTCTCCTGTGCTTAAGCCGATAGATATATGTGTATGTATGTATATAGATACATATGCTGACATGAGCACACATAAAAGAACTTTTTGGTTGTAGTTTTTTTGTTTGATTATGTTATACTCCTTTTATTGCTTTTTGCTTTTCTTAGTCAACACTGCGTTGTATATATCCCAACAAGTTACCAAATAAAACCCTCATGTGTTCTTAATGATAACATTGTGTTTATTGATAAAAATATATTTTAATTTATTTGGACATTTCTATATTTATTGAAAGAACTTTTTGTAAAGATAAACTATTGGAAAAAAGGTGACAGTAAAAATTCTGGTATTTTCTTATATATGCCAGATTTCTTCCCAACATGATGTCATAATTCTCATTTAGACCAATGAACTACAATAATACGTTTTTGAAAAGATATTGATCTGCTTAGTTTTTGCTGAACAGATACCCCATTATTAAATTAATTATTTTTTGACTTATTTTTTGACCTTTAGTATGTTTATAGTCTTTATACCTTAGATTTGCCCTCTCTCCTCATATCCAATATTTTCCCAATTTAATTGATTAGCTCATTAGTTTATGGTTTTTATTGTAGGAAATCTAAAACTTTTATGCCTATCTTTTTATGTTTTTAATTTTTGTTTTGAATATAAAGAAGACAGTAGATTTTCTTTGTATGTTATATCCTTTATTTGGACAGATTTTTTTAAATATATATTTATTTATTTGAAAGGCTTGAAAGTCAGAAATACAGAGAGAAAAGGAAAGAGACAGAGAGAGAGAAATTTTCCATCTGCTGGTTCATTCCCCAAAATAGCCACAACAGCCAGGATTGGGCCAGACTGAAGCCAGGAGCCAGGAGTTTCTTCCAGATCTCCCACGCGGGTTCAGGGGCCCAAAGACTTGAACCATCTTCTACTGCTTTTGGACTATTTTCTACTGCTTTCCCAGAGAGCTGGATCTGAAATAGAATAGCCAGAATTTGAACTGGCACCCACATAGGATGCCAGTGCTACAGGCTGGAACTTCACCCGATGTGCCACAGCACTGGTCCACAGATTTTTTTTTAAGTCACAAGGAAAATTAACTTAAACAGAAACTTCATTTAGTGCTACAATTTAGGATATGCAATTGTGAAAGGTTTCTAACTTCACCCTGTACAGTTCACATATATCATTAGTCACTGTTAGGCACTTTGGTCTTGCGTAATATAATTCATTGCTAAATGTGTGTTTTAATATGAGAGTTTTTGACATCAACATTTTTAACTTTTGTCTAATTTATATCTTAACTTAGAGTTAATAGAAATAGTTGTCTCTATAGATTATGGTTTGAGGCTGCTAATAAGTTCAGTCTTTGTGATCTTTAGCTCCTAAACTGTGAAAAGATTTCATTTTTTGTGAAGATCTATGTCTGTATTGAAAGGGGTCAAAGTGTCTGGTGACTAAAGCAGTGGAATACAAATCAGAAGATAAAAGTACTGGGCTCACTCCATTATTAACTTATACTCTGTTCAGTAATGTAAACGCAACATTGGTATTCCTCTCTTTTTAAACTGGTTGTAGTTGCGATTACCATCTGATAGTTTGTGGAAATGCTTCATCACCTCCCTTAACAAATTGTTTTTACTTCTTCAGTAGCTCTTTGAAGTAGTTATCCTTTATGCTTGCTTGTTAACAGTTGTAAAAATTTTTACTTAGAAAAACTAAGTCTTTAAAGATTATGTTAGCAGTAAAATAATTAATACAATTGGAACCATACCCAAGAATTTCTGCCTCAGTTAAGACATTTAGTGACAGTCACTCTGGGGGGTGTTTCTTGTTTATAGGATTTTACATAAATACCCTTATGGTATTATCAAAAGAATTACTTTGAATGCCACTTTGTTATATATATATTCATTTTTTTAGATTTATTTATTTATTTATTTGAAAGGCAGAGTTACAGAGAGGCAGAGAGAGAGAGAGAGAGGTCTTCCATCAGCTGGTTAACTCCCTAGATGGCCAGAATGGCCGGAGCTGCGCCAATCCAAAGCTAGGAGCCAGGAGCCCCTTCCAGGTCTCCGATGCAGATGCAGGGGCCCAATGACTTGGGCCATCTTCTACTGCTTTCCCAGGCCGTAGTAGAGAGCTAGATCGGAAGTGGAGCAGCCATGACTCAAACTGGCGCCCAGTGGCCTTACCTGCCACGCCACAGTGCCTGCCCTATATATATTTTATTGCATGTTTAAATCTGTTTCTCTGGTTGATTTTTCATAACAGATTACATGATTATCATTATTTGTTCCAAATGTATTTGGAAACTGTCAGTGCATTTTTTTCCATAATTTTACTTCAAACCAGTATTTCATTTCAAATTGCAAAATAAGTTTTAAAAACATGTTTAGCAAAAGTTAACTCTTAATATTCTTAAGTTATATAATGAAAAATTTTATTCAACATTGAGTAACAGTATGTTTCAATTTTTTGTCTTTATTCTGCAGAATGATAAATCACATTGATCATCTCTGGAAAGGATATTGATCCGCCTCATGTGAAGTATGCTCAGTTCTTTTCCAGTGGTGTAAGTATTCAGTCCTTCCCAATTTTTATCTTCTCAATCATTTAATAAATTTAAGAAATTATTATTATGATTCACATTTAAGAGCAGACATTTTTACAGTCGAAAGACTTTTAGAAAAGGAATCAAATGGTAGTATACCTGTTTGGCATTAAAGTAAACAAATATCATAGTCATGTGGTGAAGCATTTCTGTTTCCAGCTTCAAATTTTGACATTAATTTTCAACAGAATATAAAATTACTTATTTTCAGTTGCTTTATAGACAAGATATTTGTAAGATGATTAGTTAACAAGTTGATAAAACCATTGTTAGATTCCTTGTGATAAACAGAATATTGGGAGAATGTTATCTTAATGTTTCCTTTTGTATGCAAACTCCTAACACCACAGCCAGCCATTTCCCTTTAGCTGTTGGAAATGATAATGTAGTTAAGCCTGTTAGCTAATGTAGTTGCTATTCTTTCTTTGGAGTCAGGCAAAACATACAAATTGAGATGATGGTATTATGTTGAGAGTGTTTTTGTGCTAGGATATGAACTGTAACCACCAGTTCATATTAAATAGGCCTCTGAATGAAAGTATTCCGGGAATTTCACATATTAGAGAAGATAAAGTATCTATTAGCTCATTAAGTGCATCTTTAGAGTCTAATGCAAAATGCCTTTAGCATAAGTATTTTCTAAAATTTGGTAGCGTCTGTGTTTCACTTAAATTCCTTCCGTTTTGGTTGACAGTTCTACAATCCAATAAGTAGACAATAAAATAGGTTTTCCTGGTTATTTAGGTTTTTCATAAGTTCCATCTTCCTGCTTTTATTGATTCTATGATACAATGGAAAGTCTCTAGAATAGGCTTATTAATGCCAGCCTGAGTTTCGGCTAAGTAACCATGTTCTTGCTGAAGCACTTAATCTCTTTGAGTCTTAGTTTCACGTACACCCCCCTCCTCTTTATCCATTTACTAACTAAAGGAATGACTATTCTCAATAGCCATTAGAATGTAAGCATCTTGAGGCCAGGAATTTTTGCCTGATTTGTTCCTTCTTGATCTTTTGTGCTTCCTATGTTATTTGACACATAATGGACACTCAGTAAATTTTAGTTGAGTGAATGATTTTTTTCTAAATCAGGGATAGGAAACCTTTTTTCTGCCAGGGGTCATTTAGATATTTATAACATCATTCATAGGCCATACAAAATTATCAACTTAAAAATTAGCATGCTATGAATTTATTGAATTTTTTAAAGGTTTTTTTATTTGAAAGTCAGAATTACATAGAGAAGGAGAGGCAGAGAGAGAGGTCTTCCATCCACTGGTTCTCTCCCCAATTGGCCACAATGGCCAGAGCTGCGCTGATCTGGAGTCAGGAGCCAAGAGCTTCCCACGGATCTCTCATGCGGGAGCAGGGGCCCTAGGACTTGGGCCATATTATACTTTCCTCCAAGACCATAGCAGAGAGCTGGATCGGAAGTGGAACAGCTAGGACTTGAACCGGGGCCTAAATGGGATGCCGGCACTGCAGGTGGCGGCTACTTGCTACGCCACAGCACTGGCCCCTATTTATTGAATTCTGCATCCAACCTGTGGTTCCTGTGACAGGGCCAGACCAGATGATTTCACAAGCCTTACATGGCCCTGGAGCCAGATGGTCTTCATATCTTGACTGGTATCCACTTCTCTAGTATCATATCGTTTAAATCTCCTTCTTTAAAATTTCATGTCTTTACTTTTTTTTTTTTTTTTGATTTAGTAATAGTATTTAGTAAGGGGATGATCAAAGTATGATTTCACAAACCCTGTAATTTATTACCATATAAAGGGAATATTTTCTTGGACTCACATGCTTAAAGAAGAGGAGAATGACATGAAGAAAATACACAGTGGAAAAGTTTGATTAACTACAATAATGAATTCTCAAATTATTAAAGTCTAGTTGTTGACTTAGTATTGAAGTAAGTGTATGAAAAAAAACCAACATCTAGTTATAGATCGAAATATTCCTTCATAGGGATAGTTCTTAGCCTGACCACCACAGTGGTGATCCAGAGAGACATAATATTCCTTCATGCTAGAGCCTGGTACCCATTTTAGCAGGCAAGGTTTCAGAGCTCCACGGCCTATCATAGCCTGATCTCTCAAAGTGTCTTTCAAACTCTTGATGTATTTTGAAGTCTAGTAGTTGAGGTCAGTAACTCACATAGGGAGTCTGATAAGGTCTGATATGACTTTGCCAAAGCAAGAGGAAATTGACAACAAATTCTCACATGAAGGTATGACAAGAATTAACATTCTAAAGGGAAGTGGAAGTACCTCCCAATTTCTGATGCAGGGGATTTCTTAAAACATCATACTGTGGTAGGAAGGGAAAGAACACACTACAGCTTCTTATTACACTAAAACATACTATCTATCATCTATGTAGCACACTATGCATGTGCTTGCAATTATTTCAAAGCAACAAAACAGATTTTTTCCCCCTAATGTGTAAAAAGTGACTGTAATAAGAAACCTCCATCTTAGGTACCCTTCTCTGAAGGGAGGAGAGAACTTCCACTTTGATTATTGCCTTGTCTAAATAAGATTGGAGTTAGCGGACTCAAAAGGCTTCCATAGCCTTGGCAACTCATGGCAAGAGCCTAGGGTGATTACTGAGGCCATAAACAAGAGTGTCAATTGTTAAGTCAACAACAGGAGTCACTGTGCACTTACTCCCCATGTAGGATCTCTGTCCTTAATGTGTTGTACAATGTAAATTAATGCTATAACTAGTACTCAAACAGTACTTTACACTTTGTGTTTCTATGTGGGTGCAAACTGTTGAAATCTTTGCTTAATATATACTAAATTGATCTTCTTTATAAAAAGATAATTGAAAATGAATCTTGATGTGAATGGAATGGGAGAGGGAGTGGGAGATGGGAGGGTTGCGGGTGGGAGGGAAGTTATGGGGGGGGGGAAGCCACTGTAATCCAAAAGCTGTACTTTGGAAATTAAATTTATTAAATAAAAGTTAAAAAAAAAAAAGAAACCTCCATCTTAATCAACGTAACTTAAAAACTATTAAAATGAGTTTGACGGGGCCTACATTGTGGTGTAGTGGGGTAAAGCTACTGCCTGCAATGCCAGCATCCCTTATGAGGCAAGTTTGTGTCTGGGCTGCTCCAATTCTGATCCAGCTCCCTGCCAATGGCCTGGGAAAAGCAGCAGAAGATGGGCCAAATGCTTGGACCCTTGCTATCCACATGGGAGACCTCCTGGAGGAAGCTCCTGGCTCCTGGTTTCGGCTTGGCCCAGCTATGGCCATTGTGGCCATCTGGGGAGTGAAATAGTAGATGGAAGATCTCTCTCTGTCTCTCCCTCTCTATCTGTAACTCTATCAAATAAATAAATAAATATTTAAAAAGATAAAATGTGACTGATATGATATAATCTTACTTTTAGCAACATCCTTTTATAAAAACATTTTAATACTGTATCTGTAGTCACAGCTTCTGTTCTTAGACTTCAATCTTTTCTCCTATTGGTTTGAATTATATTGAATCATTTTCACTATACTCTCAAGCTCAGTCCCCAGTAAAACTTCATTTCTTATTTGTCATTTTCTTGTTTTAAGATGGTATCCTTTGATGGTTGTAATAACTGAGAAAGAGGATAGTGTCACATAAATACTTTAAAGGGCCTGAGTCAGTGAATATTATAGTCAACTCTAGAGTATGTTAAATCATCATCTGATAAATACCATATATGCAAAACAAAAACTAACTTACTTTGTTTGATCACTCTAGATAAAATTATCTTTAAAGATAACAGCATAGAGCTGAAGACAAAGCTTTGTTACCTAGAAAACCTTTTTAATGCTGATGCTTTGCAAGAAAGGTAGCAATGTCCTTTTTGCCTGTGAGGGTTCAAGAGTCATCTTCTGTGAATGCTTTAACCTCATTTTTTTGTCAAATTTAGTTTATGATATATTCTACGCCTCGTGCCTTATCCAAGAAGGGTTTAGGTATATCCTCAAGTATTGAAAAAATTCATTGTAAAATATATTTACTATTGTAGTCTCATAGGATAGTCTTTTCTTAGATCATAAGTTTATGAACTGAGCCATAATTCTTGAATGTAATTGTTCTTTTATGCTTTAAACATTGTCTGAGATATTACAATGCTGAAATTCTTCTCACATCATTTTCAATTATTGTTGGCCCAAGTCTGCCTTCAGATTAGTAATTTAAAGTGAAAAATGTTCCTTATCCTGTGAATAATCCTTATTCATAAGAAAATTAATTCCACTCTTACATGTTTCCTTTTACTGTTAGGAAAGAATTGCTGATATCATTTACTTAGATAACCTTTATAGGTCACTCAAATGCCATAATTTCTTGAGTATATGCTTAAAGTAGCTAAAATCATTAAAAAATAAATTTGGAAGTGCCACAGTGTATACCTTGTTTTATGTTAGTAAACTGTAATATTATTATCAGAGATCTAAGAGAGGTTCTGATCTCTATCCTTTTTCAGAAAAATACAGTATCTTCAGTATCATTTACATGATTTGAACCTGTGCCCTATGGTGATCATAGATTCTATTCCAGCTGTTTTGGATATTTTTACTTAGGTTATATCTTTTTTTTTTTAGGTTATTCAAATGTATTTATTGGATACCTATTTTTTTTTTAATTTATTTAATGAGCACAAATTTCCAAAGTACAGCTTATGGACCACAATAGCCTCCCCCCGCCCCGTGTCTTCCCTCCCATCCACAACGCTCCCCTCTCCCACTCCCTCTCCACCTCCCCTTCACATCACGATTAATCTTCAATTATCTTTATATACAGAAGATCAATTTAGTGTATGTTAAGTAAAGATTACCACATTTTGCTCCCACACAGAAACACAAAGTGTAAAATACTATTTGAGTACTAGTTATAGCATTGATTAAACACCTAAGAGTAATTGTGTATTAATTACAGAGCTCAACCAATAGTTTTAAGTAGAATATAAAAT